TTGGCGCTGGTAACAGTTTTTGTTATATTCAGCTTAAAAATGTTTTTAAGAACTTACTTATAGCCGTGCTTGGAAGTCACCATATTTTTGGATTCACCTGGCCCACAAGGCCCTTGGAGACGTATTCTCCTACGTAGGGCACGCAGTCGTTATTTGGATCGTCACGCGAGGTTTGGAGAGAAGCGTTGCGTGACGATCCAAGAACGGAAGCTGCAATGGACGTAGCAATGAAGAAGAAGGGCTGGGTCGAGTAAAACGGCGAAAATCAAGATGGCGGCTGTTTATCAAGTGTGATCTTGTAGGCAGGTACGCTTCTTCTAACTCTTTTCTCCGTGAAAGTAAATTTGGTTGATTAGTTAGGGTAGTCCGCATGGTAGTCCGCGGACTAGTCCGTAGAGTAGTCCGCGGAGTGGGGTCAGTGGGTAGTCCGCGGAGTGGGGGTCAGTTTTTTCAACTCTCCCGTGAGAGTCGTGTTGTTCAGTTTTATTGGCCCACTGCTTGCATAGTATATGAAACCTCTAAAAGTTTCCTCCACTTGTGAAGCCGACTTATGAAAAGAGGTGTCTATCAGCTCAAGATTAGTAGAGCTTTCCCCGACGAAAACAGTATAAGAGGCACTATTGTTAACAAATTGACATTTGCTGAAAACATTCCAACCATTTTGTAGTCGAATAATAGAGGAACTTAAGACTTTGTTTTCACGGAATAAGACGTAAGTCAATCGAACTTCGTTTTTGTAATCATACCAATTACAAACTTCATGATCTACATTATCCCGAGGGAACTGAAACAGTACAATTACCTCTGGCGATGCATTTTTCTCAAAGATGGCATCTTCAATCGTTACGTTGGTTCCCTGAGCAAGAGAGTAGAAGTGAAATAGTGGTCGATTGGGAATTTGAAGTGAGTTTCCTCTGAATCTTATGTTTTTCATCTGTACCAACGACCATCCTATAGCCATGACAAATATTGAGAATAATTCGTTGTTTTCAAAGTGCGTGTTCGTTATTGAAACACTACTTGAATTGTCACCAACAAATGGACTTACTTGAATATATATTCCACTGGCTTTGTTATTCTCGTATTGCAATCCATTAATACTTATTTCTGCTTCAGTCTGAGAGCTGATAAATAAAAGAAACGGTCTCCTTTCCCAAGTGTATTTATCTACCCAACGTTCTGCATAATTTCCAGAAATGAGGGTTCTAACGAGAAATAAACTGAGCTAATTTGAGGAAATACGTGCCATTGCCCATCCGTAAGAAAATATTTCATTCTGACGTGAGTTCGCAATGAAAAAAGAATCTACAATAGTAACGTTTGAGGTTCCCCCGCCGTGTAAGCACAGAGTCGAAGACCCACTGCTGGCTGAATTGTACATAAACGAAACGTCTTCCAAAAAAACTGTCGTATCGTTGCAATACAAACACTCAATCGCCAGGGCTCCTCCATAGACAGTAGGATCATCCCCACTTATAACGTTCCCCATGAACAAACTCTTTTTGACAAGAATTGAACACACCTCTAATGGAGAGTAGTGAAAAACGTAAATTGCTGACCCAGAGCTTTGGGCGCTATTTTCAATAAATTTACTGCCAAGAATATTTAAGAATGGCCCGGTTTCGCCAAGAAATATGGCACCACCGCAATCAGGAGAACTGTTATTAACAAAACTAGACCTTGTTATCCACGTGTTAACGCTGTTAAGAGAAATCAGGCTAATCGCACTTCCTAGATTGCTGGAAAATGTAACGTTACTGATGGACAGCAAACGTCCTGATTCGCTTGATTACTTCGTATCATGTTTTCTAGAGAAGAATTGATGCGATTTAGAACCCGCATTTCTAATATGTTTCTTCTTGGTACGATGTTGTTGAGATTGCCTGTTTGCTGTTTCTTCTGAGGCGATTCCCTCCATCCGAAGACACCCTCCTAATGGCGCTTTGTTTTTCACGAATGATATGCTGATTAACGAAACAGTTGTCCCGGGATATATTAATTGCTGGGTTGGCAACAGCACAATGAAAATACTGAGATAAATCCAGTTAAACAATGCGCTTGTACCGTAGGCGGTATTGTTGACAAATGCAGTTTCGTAAATTTCGATCTTCGGTCTGCTCCCAAGGACATAGATACATGGAAAACCATTGTTGCTAAACTCGGACCGCCCAACCCTCAAGGAAAGGTCATGTTCATCAAATGATTCAAAATGAACTACACCTGTTGCGTTTGGAAAAGATATGGCATCTTTGAAATGACAACTATCGACAAACAGCGAGCAATTCTGCACAGTAACGTGGCTATTCAAAAACGTAAGGCCAGAAAACCGAATAACAACATTTCTAGTTAAATTCCTGCCATCAAACAACATTTGCCTTGAAGAGGAGCACTGAAGGATTGCCTCATTTTCTCCATATCGTTCAAACGATAGGCTCATGTTGATGTAAATTTGCTCCGGATCTGATGTACCCGATGAGCAAGGATAGGGATCACGAGATGTTCCAGTGCCATCAATGCAAATGGTGTCGTTCCATTGCGCCTGCGTAACAGCACGACCAATGGTTTTACAAGCTGATTCGATCGTTTCGCCACAGGAAAGGAAGTCTTTACCAGAGTAACGAGAAACATAGATCTGTTTCCCCTTCACTACTGCGAAAATTAAAAAAGGAGTTCTCGAGGAGTTACTCAAGAGGAAATCATAGGATAGAAGGCCAGGTCATTATAGAAATACAAAATGACAGGAATGGGTTGAATTAAGAATTTTGTTATAGTTATGATTAGTAGTGATATTTCATTCTTGTGAGTTTTGCTATATTTGTTAGTGATTTTCTGACATAATTTTCTCTCAATTATTTCTTTTGCGAGAATTGCGAAAAACATTTGCTAGCAAATTTTTGCTAACAAGATCGATCCCGGACATATCTCTGATATTTGGCATAAATACCACGAGTGATATTTCGAAATTGTTATACGTAATTTCACGAGCCGTTAGGAGAGGAGAGGTTTTCTTTTGTTTTGGGGTATGATAATGTATGCTAACTTCAAGAAATATATACTGGGTATGTAATACATGTGTCTATTTTATGGCTGAATAAGTGAGCAAGCAAGACGATCGAAACAAATCCTGGGCAAGCCACTCCACATTTCCAATGTCAGGGGTATAGCATCCATATACGCACATATGCCACTGCATACATGCACAGCTGACATTGAAAAAATATATTTTTTATTTTCCGAAAAAGCAAATTTTATCATAAAATCAGAATGGCTAATAGATTTTTTTAACAATATTGGTGTCTTTGTGTTAGTATCTCCTTATAGATATCTCGTGGTCGGCACAAATGAAGGAGCTCTTGAATGGAGCTCCTGTTCTAGACCGATTTTCTTTGATATTTGCGTATTATATTTTTGCTTTTATTTTATCTCATAGTGTCACCACTGTGTAAAAAATATCATTTTATAGCCAGGTGCTATCACAAAAATGTATGTTCATTTAGCTCCTAGACATTTTTGTTCTCATAATGCATAATTTTATGTAACATCTTCTTTTCTTTTCATTAGCCATCAAAACACGTAAAAGTCTCTAAGGGTTGTTGTTGTTGTTCTTGTTGTTGCTCGCTTACCAACAGCTGTTCAAGACAATAAGCCCGCACTCATCCTTCCAGAAGAAGGAAGGATCAAAGACTGGATAAGGGAGACGGCGGAAACTGAGCCTATATTTTTCTTTATCCTTTTACTGTACCTTCCCAGCAACACTAGAGATGGGTAAAATAAACAACTAACTACATCTGTTCTGCATTTTCCTTCAAATTAATTTGCTAAAAATGTGCTGTGGAAAATGCTGGAATTCAGAGACCCTAAATTTAAGAATAATTCCCACCACCCGCTGCCACCTTAGGTTGGGCTGCCTTGGGTGCTACAAATTTTCTTCCCTATGTGTGTGTGTTGTTGTTCAGTATAAGCCTTGGTCTAAATTTTATTTCCTTTTGTTTTAAACTCATTATCATATATTACCATACTCAAAAACAAAGGGAAATAAAATTTGAACCATGCTGCAAGGATAAAATTGAACTACAACATAATACATGTACACCTTCGAAATCTCACACTACGCACCTGAATGTTGATCCCACAAGAAAAAGTTTCTTTTTGCCCATATAATGAATCCCTTATTGACACAGCATATTTGGTCAAGATGGCTGGAAATTGGCTTCTTTTTTGTATTGTTGACTTTGACTGCATCTCAGCCAATAAAAACTTGATCATCTCGGCTTCATGCTTGGTCTTCTTCCACACAAGGGGGTCAAAAGCGTAGATTGCCGCAATACAGTCTGTCATGATTGTTATGCTTGGAAGCATATCCATCAATTACTCAGCGAAAAAAATTAACCAAAGTTCTCACCGAGTAAACCCCGACCCGACTCCATGAAAAGTAACCACGAACAGCAGTCAGAAGTACCTACCCAGTCTAGGCGGTAGGTACGTGGTGTAAGCATCATATAGTGGTTCCCCGTTAGTTAATATATGGCATAACTTTACATAGCCCTACATAGCCATACTCAGCCCTACATAGCCCTACATAGCCCTACATAGCCATACACAGCCCTACATAGCCATACATAGCCCTACACAGCCCTACATAGCCATACATATCCCTACACAGCCTTACATAGCCATACATAGCCATACACAGCCATACATAGCCCTACATAGCCCTACATAGCCCTACATAACCCTACATAGCCCCACACAGCCCTACATAGCCATACACAGCCATACATACCCCTACATAGCCATACATAGCAATACATAGCCCTACACAGCCCTACACAGCCATACAAAGCCCTACACAGCCCTACATAGCCATACACAGCCATACATAGCCCTACTTAGCCATACACAGCCCTCAGTATCCATACATTGCCATACACAGCCCTACATAGCCATACGTAGCCCTACATAGCCCTACACAGCCATACATAGCCCTAGTATATTTAGGCATACATAGGCATATACAGCCCTACATAGCCATTTATAAAATAATTAAGATAGTATGCGCGTTCTGATTGGGCGAGAGTAATGTTTGCATGAGAGTATATAAACATCGTTGTGGTGTCAAGATGTTTCGCTTTTCGTGCGGTTATCATGCAGGCACGAATTTCAAAAAGTTTTGGAGTTCAAAACTCGACAAGTTTACTTTATTTACCCATTTCTTTGTCGGCTGAAACTTGGAAATTCTTACAAAGAAGGTGTGTCAATTTCTCTTTGCTTAAGCTGACATTTTAAGCGAGAAAAAACCGTATTTTAGAAAGCATCTTTTTGGAAAACGAAAACTGATTACACGTGCAACACTTCGTGGACAGGACTTTGCGACTGGTAAGAATTTATCTTTTAAGCAGTGCCGTACAAAGAGTGTTGCGTTTCTTCTCGGGAAAGTTATTTTATAAAAGCAATGGAAAGCTTATTTCCTGCGTTTGCATAGCCTGATATAAACACTCGAGGCGTTGGGAGAATTCTCAACAGTAATACAAACCCGAGACGAATCGTCTCGGGTTTGAATAGCTGTTGAGAATTCTCCCAACCCCTCTCGTGTTTATATGGAACTATGCAAACAGAAAACGTTTTCTTTTGCTTAAATATACCTGTACATAGACATACATAGCCATACATACGCCATTGTCTTGATTTTCAAGGCCAAGCACAGTTTTGTAGGTGCTTGCATTACCGGTATCCTAAACCAGTTCGGTTTAACAACTCACAACAAAAAGTGTTGCCATTTTTGTTGAAAGATTTTTTGTTTTCTGACAGTATGGAGTCACGTGACAGCATTTGTATAATTGGAAAACACCAACGTATGTATCTGGCAAAGTTTCATCTTTCTAGTGCTTAAGTGCTCAGAGATAGACCACCCCCATCTTTTTTTCACTGGATCATTTTCCTGAGGATGTTTCTGACGTTATGGCGGACGTTTCAAAGAAGAAACGTTGATATGTTTTGGGAAACTGTAGCACGATTGTGGCAGTATTTTGTCACTCAGGATCGATCAATACGCAAACGGATTTTTTTAAGGATTATTTTACAACTTAGTAGTTAGATTGTTGAATAAACCAATAATAACTTTAGCAACTTTTCAAAGCCTAGTTGGTTAATCAAGCCACTTTTGGGCTTCATTCTCGCCGTTTTTTCCCGCTCTGTTCCCTTCCGTACCATCTGAACTCAAGAATAATCGTGTGAGAAACCATGCCGCCCAAATTATATCATAGGGAAGGAAGTTAGCCGAAAACACTCGTTGGGAGCACCTGATAAATAAAGCAAGTCTGGATTTGTTTTTCTGCCACCCCAAGTAGTAAAGTATGTGGTTCGACTGTCAAATGCGAATTTTATAAATAACTATCCACAACCTGTTTTCCATTTCAACGAGTCACAATTACGCTGTGTAAAAGTAATCGTAACCCAAACGTTACAGAGACGACCCCTGGCGGCACACGCCTCTAAATTCCGAGTTA